TAGTCCATTTTCATTCTTCAGCATATATATTCACTAGGAGCTTTTTTCATGTGGGCAATGTAGAACTTCTCCTTGACACATTTACACAATAATTACAACAATTCCTTTAGAGCATAATATCACAACTTAACAAAATTCAATTTTAGAGAGTTTCATGGTAACATGTCAAAAAGAAGTCCAGCAGATAAAACTCTTAATCAAACTAATTAAGATATACTCTCTCAATATCATCTTTATATATAAGATGTTCCCTAGAAACTTATCTTATCCCTGAACATAAGGGGTATCATGATATTTTTAATTTATGATTTTTCCCTTATTATCTTGGAAAGGAGAAGAGATATTAACTGTGTTTCATCTACCACACTTTGACAATCGAAACCAGAGATATAGAGGGTACAAAAACCTGGAGCTTGTTTGGTTTTATTCTCATTTTTTGTTTTTAAAAAATATTTTGTAAATCAGTTGTTAAAAATTAATTTTTAAAACAAAATAAAATGAAAATATATTTAGTTATGTTAATTTAAAGACAATTTTAATTACAATCCAAAAAATTAGCTAATAATGACTGGTATTGGTGGTGGCTTATGATAGTAACTGTTTAAACTAACTGTAATTTTTAATAATGGAATGTAGTATATTTTGAAAACAAAATTAAATAAAACGTAAGTAACTTCAGGATATTTTTATTTTGTTATTTTTAAGGAGAAAATGAGAACTCTTTAAAAAAAATTAATTTCAAAACATTTGTCCAAATAAACATTTGTCCAAGGTCGTTTTAATGAGATAACCATCTGATTTACTTCATTGGTTGACCACGCCCCATTTTTCTTCCACAATCCTTCTGACATATTTTTAGGACAAACTAGAAAACTGTTGTAATTTTACAATTAAATAATTAACTTTTATCTATATGCAAGATTCGATTAAAAAACACTTTATATATAAAGACTGACAGAAAAGCCGATTACTTCTCAGTTCCTAGAGAACGTACCTGAGTAATCTCAAATGACTGGACCCCGGCTGGTGAAGCAAAGTCACGATCGCTACAGTAATGTCGGAGCATGAGACTTAATCCAAAGTATCTCAATATTCCACCTATATATACCTTCATTAATTAAATGAAAACTGATCATACTTTACTTAAGTTACAAGAAAGTTACTAAAATTATTGGGATAACAATATAATATCATTTTATATTCCGACTAGACACCTTATAATTTGAATCAACTTCTATTTTTGGATGATGCCTCATAAAAAAATAATTAAAAAATATAGTTAGATTAAAATAAGAAAATACATCATATATACATATATATATATATAGAGAGAGAGAGAGATAGAGAGAGATTTAATTGATTGTCGTCATGCACTCTCCCATGGCTAAAAGGAGACTTTCAAAATCCATCTTGATCTTGACACGCCACCCACACTTAACGAAATTCAGTCCATCTTTTTTCAGCATCAAATTTCAAGTGAAGTTGACTGTAATCCATTGATAAACTCGAGCAAGTTTGCTTCCCAATCTGTCCAAACAAGACCCAAAGGTGGGGAGAATTTATTTGCTTCTCCAGTTCTCGATGCCATTCTTGCAAGAACACGAACTTATCATCCGAAGCTTTAACAAAGTAATAACGCCAACAAAATACGTTTTGGCAGGCTTCGGTGGAATAAAACATGTCATTTTCAAGCACAATGCAAAGTGCAAATCCAAGCCAATTAGTAGGCGGTACGTTCACAATGATTGATCTTTCATATTCCTTATCCTGGCAAAAAGATTTTTGGCTCTGAAACCACGATGGTATTTCACTCCCTGGGATAGTCACCGAGAAGGTTTTAATTGATAGTGATGCCTATGAGTCAGCATTCAATCTATGTGGTTTCCATTCCGCGTATTGCCCACTCTAAGAAACACAAATTTGTCATGTCATCATATGTCAAAGAATATATACAATTAGCAAGAATTAAATATTGAGAGTGTCCCCCAATGACCTTTGGGTTCAGTGACACAACACTATATATATCTCCCCCTTTGTGAGAGTCACATGTTCAAACATATACTTGTGTGTGGGTGGGTAGGTGTGTTTGTCTATATGTTTGTGTGCGTTTAAAAGAGAGGAATGAGAGCATGCGTGTGTGTGTATTTTGTTTGTTTTCATAGATAGGCATTCATTGTTATAAGTTTAAAGGGAGAGTTGATCCAATTGGTAAAAGATTTGGCTCATAATCCAAAGGTCATAGGATCTAATCCCATTACAATATGAGGACCTTATTGATGGGCAATTTATGTAAACACTCCTGTAAATACTCTTTAAATTTGAAGGTATACTTTGGTCTTGGTGAACCCCCTGGACCCAACTTACTTAAACTTTCCTATATCTAAAAAAAATGAGAGCTCGTCTAAAAAAAAAAACTAGAATGTTTTGTAGGAGAGTCTTTTGAATTTATAAATCTTATTTTTATTTGCAAGAGTTCCTAACATAAGATTCACAATAATGTATATATAGACACATGTATACCTGATCAATTGAAGCAAAAAGATGTAATAATCTTCTGACAAAGATGGCAAATAAGTTCAACCTCCATCCATTAGATCTAAACCTCGTGAAGGTTTGGGCAACAATTGAAGCCTTGAGCAGGAATTCAAATATAGAAATCGTAGATGCAAGAGCTTAGAAATGCAAGCAGTACGTAGATTCGTGATGTTGTTTTCACTTAGATCTAATTTCCACAATGATGACAATCCACTGAGATCATTCGGAAGGATTTCATCTTCAATATTGCATTGGCTTAGATAAGATTGATCTAGGCAATTTTAAGCCCTTATTTGGAAATGAATATCTGTTGATCCATGATTTGGATGTTGGCCTTTTCAATCCATGAAGTGACAGTGTCTTGAGTTTTTCTAAGGAACCAATAGAAGAAGGTACTTCTGTGATAGTTGTTCCACTTGCATCAAGCTTTTCCAAGGCTTTATGTTCATTTAAGCTTTTTGGAAGTTTAGATAAATTTGAGCAACTAGAAATATCAAGAACTTTCAGACACTTCAATTTCTGAATGTTACCGGGTAAACTAACAATATTTTGGCAACCTCTTAAATCCAAAGTTTCCAGATTAGTTAGTGATCCAAGTGACTCAGGAAGTTCGGCTACACCTGTTTCCTTAAAATCTGCATTCTCCAAAATTTGGAAGTTTCTTAACTTTAGTGAAGCCACAAAGAACAAATTCTCTGAGAGATGCCATTTCCAATTCTCTTGGAAGGCTTTTAAGATTTTTGCAATCTTTAAGATTGACTTCAACATGACTTTTGAGCTGGCCAAGAGAAGGATCAATTTGAACAAGTTCCTTGCATCCTTCAAGAACTAATCTTTCTAGTTTTGGAAATCTGAACAAATGTCGAACTTCAATGAGTTGTTTGGAGAGGCTGAAGTCCAAATAGAAATCTCGAAAAATAATTTATGAAAACCTTACACATGTTAAGTAATCCATCCAGTGATGCATGTTAGGTATTCTCCCTGGCTCTTATTATAAGTCACTTTCAATCACTTCACTAAAGTCAAGAAATTCAGTTAACTCATTAAATTTATTTTAAAATTAAAAAATATTCCAACTTTGCCCTTAGTAAAGAGAGGGAAGAAACACAACATTTGAAGAGCCATATGTAAGTCAACTATTAGAAGTCACTTTTAATCACTTCACCAAAATCAAGAAGTTCAATTAACTCATTAAATCTATTTTAAAATTAAAAAAATATGCCAACTTTGCCCCTATTAAAGAGGGGGAAGAAACACAACATTTGAAGAGCCATATGTAGAACAATTAAATTTTTCTTTTTGTAATTTGCTAGGGGTAAAACTAAAAAAATTTTAGTTAATAACCCTCTATGTAACTTATACTAAAGACCAAAAAAAAAAAAATACTTCTAAAAGGCACTTTATAATAAGGATTGGAGGGAGTAATGCTCAAAGTAACTTACTTTGCCACCATGCTGAGGTCGCTTTATTTTGCTATTTTGCATTCTGAGATGTACAAGTTCATCCAATTTTGCATCCAGCGAAAGTGTTTGTTGAGGATGTCCATACCAATCAAGAACTTTTAATTTGCAAGGTAAGTCTTTTAGACCAAAGGGAAGGGAAACATTACACGATATGATGAGTATTCAAAGGCGACTCATGTTTGAAAAGGCGTTGGGGTTAGGTTTCCATTCAGTTATGCCATTGTCATAACTACAAGGCAAAACTATACCTTCTATTGCGTCATTCCCCTCATGAGAAAACATTAACCCCAAGAGCATATATATATATATATATATCAAAAGAGCATATATATATATATATATATATAAAAGCTAAATATATAAGGCATATAAAACCTCATTGAGAATATTATTATCATGCAATGTTTGGCAAGTAGAAAAGTGTTTCCTAGAAAGAAATAGGAAATAGGTACATTTCTTATTTCCTTTATAGCCTATTTATTCCTTTCTAGAAAACAACTTTCATGCGCCAAACATGTAATTATTGTTTCTAGAAAATTAATTACTCACCAAATCTCGTTCAAGTACCTGAACAATGTCCTTGGCATACCACCATCTGCTGCGCCTTTCAACATGTTGAGGTTGTTCACGAACAATACTCCTACCCATATCTTGAATCAAATTGTGCATCTTTATATCTTGTTATCGCCAACCTCAACTTTTTCGAGCAAAGATTTTTTCATAAGACTAGGGATACCAATTGTTGCGTAAAGACCCCAACTTTCCAAAATTTGTGTTCATCTTTTCCCCAAATATTAAAAAAAAGCAAGCAATGTCAAGAAATATTGCCTTTTCTGTAGGGTTTAATGCATCATAACTTATTTTCAGTCTCTTAAAAACATGATTATTTGAATCTTCCTTCAACATATCCAGAGCCTTTTCCCATTCACCTGCACTTCTTCCACAAAAAAAGGAACCCAAAATACAAAGAGCCAAAGGAAGGCCTTCTGCATAATTAATGACTTATTTAGACTTCTCCAAAAGGCCCTGTTCATCTGCAGCTTGATCTCTTGTAAATGCTTTTAGGCGAAAAAGTTGAAGAGATTCATCCTCGTTCATTGTATTAACCTCGTATATTGAATCCACATGATGTAACCTAAGTAAGTTGACATCTCTGGTTGTTATAATTACTCTACTCCCAGCACCAAACCACTCCATGCTTCCAGCAAGGCTCTCCAATTGGTTTATAGAACTTACGTCATCAAGGATAAGCAAAACCTTTTTATTGCGAAAATGGTTTTTAATGGTTTTCCTTACTATGAACGTGTCTTCAATTTCTTTGTTTTCTTTTCTAAGATGTGGAAGTATTTTTCTTTGTAAAGAAGATAGCCCACATGTTTCAGAATCCTCCCTAACACTGGGGAGAAAACAATGAAAATCACATTCATGATTGCACTTCTCACAAATGGCTCTTGAAAGAGTTGTCTTGCCAACTCTGCCCTTACCCCATATTCCTACAAACTTGACTTCATCAACCTTCTTCAGCAAATAGAATTCTATTTCACGAATTCTCCAGTCAATGACAATTAACTTGTCATCATCATTGAATGTATGTGGCAAGTTACCATGGAATATGTTCCATAACCAATGACGAATCCAGAAATAAGTACATGGGGGGCAAAGTTAAATACTAATTTTCACAATTTTTTCATGAAAAATTAAAAAGAAATAAAGAGGAGGTGAAAATGTGGGGGGACCAGCACCTCCGTTGTCCCCCTTACATTCGTCCCTGTCCATAACTGTTCAACCACACTTTCAATAAGTTTTGATTTGTACCTATAAAGTAAACATATGGTAAGACAAACATGCATGCATGAGTCCACTTGTGTTTAGTGTGAGACAAAAAAATTAGCAATGATATATAGAGAATTAATGGTTTACTAGGGCATTAGAAATTTTGACAGTCAACACCCCAAATTTTACTGTGAAGACAAAAGATTCAGTAATGATAAATAGAGAATTACGTTCTAAAAATATATCTAAGAAACAGCTTTTTCTTTGTCTTTACAATAATTTTAAAATTTTGTAATGAATAGTTTAAAATCATACTCCCTCCAACTACCTCAATAATTAAGGAGAGATGATTAAATTATTGACGTTGTCTAAAAATGAAAAAAAAAAGAATTTTTTAGTTCACTCTTATTAAATGCATTATCTTTTGTTTTTCCACAAAAGAGCCTATTTTATTGATTAAAAGAAAGAGTTTGATGACTTTCAATATTTTATTAAATTTATTAGTGTTTTTAATGTAATTGAAAGTCATTTATTAGTGTTTTTTTTAGCAAAACTATGATTAAGTGGATGAATGTGTGTAAAAATAGGCTTGAAAGAAGTTAGTGGACTAACTCTAGCATTAATTTTGGGTTTTATACATGTAGGCAAACCCAATTTATGGGCCTAATGATGAAAATTTTGAAGCCTAAGTCAAAAGACTTAAATTTGAAAAGAAAATCTGAATAGGTCATGTTTGATGCAGTGAAAACGCTACAGTAAAGTGCGATTTTAGTAAAACGTGCAGTTTTGATTATCAACAAATTTTTAGGGTTTAGGCATCTCATTTTCATGCATTCTTCACTTCTAGTAGCTACATAACGTCCAAGAAAAAGGAAAAGAGCTAAAGAAGGGTTGGAGAAGCTTGGGTTTAGTAAAAAATTAAGAGTTTCGCTCAACATTGATCCGATTAAGCTTTTCTTCTCCTTCTTCTCTTTACTTTGCTGTATATATTACTGATTTTACTATCATGAAAGCTATATGTGACTAATATTTTCTTAATATAGGGTAGCTATGAATTGATTCTTGAATTAGAGTATATTTAAACCATTTATTTAAGCTTAATATTAGTTTTGTTTACTTAATCTTGTGCTTATTTGTCTACTTAATGCTTGGCCACCATTGAGTGTGAATTTAGGGGTTTAGATTTTGCCTTGGAAAAGAAAAATCTAAATTTGACCATTAAATTGAGTAATGTGGGATTAGAATTTATTCTAGTTTGTTAATAAAATAAGAATATACATATTGGACCTATATAATCACATTAGAGTGAATTTGTGCCATTTTTCCTCTTGGGTAATTCTGTTAGAAATAGAAAATTAATTCAAGAGAGGGGTGTAATTAATTAGAAGATAATTATTCCTATTAATACTCTAGATTAACAAATTAATATTAAGTAAATTTATTTGGAAAATTACATGCTCTATGAATTGAAGAAGGAATTAGCTACCCTAGGTTGCCTTGATTGTTTGTGGTTGTTGGAATTTTAATTTTAATACATTATTCTAATTTCAATCCTTATTTTGCAAAAATCAAATCCAAATCATGCCTTACTCAACGTAAATGAAAATGAGAACTTTATTGTCTAATTATCAATTAACTTAATTCCTCATGAGATTGACCTTGATTTGCCATTTACTAATTACGAACTGTATACTTTTGATAAAAGATAATTGTGTGCATCAGAGTTATTACATGCTAATAAGTACAAAGCTAAAAAAGAGCACCTAGAGTATAACCTACGGAAAATAAAATCCAAATACAACCTCAGAAAACATTAAAAGAAAAAATGTATCATCTTTAAAAAAACTTTCTTTTTCCTATATAACTCAAGTACAACCTTTTACATTGCTCGTAGATTGACAATTATAAAAGAGTAAAATTGGAAGAAAGTAATTAATGATTCATTTTTTTAATATGCAAGGTGACTTATAAAAATAACTTTCAATTCCTTCTAAAAAATAATTTATATATAGGATCGAGGGATTGAATGTTTTTTTTTTTTTTAACAAACAACCTGGAATGTTCATTTGATGAATCATTTTTTTAATAATACATGAATGGGAAGAAAGATAAACAGTAAAAGATATCAATTACGAATTTATGATTGTGAAGTGTAATACTTTTTCACAATTAAAATTTCCATCTCTCAGTAAAAGAACATTTTATCTCTTCACCATTGAATACCCGCAAGCAGTGTTGCATGAGTTGATACAAATATACAAGGTACTGAATGCTAGATTGGTCATTGAATTGATCAAGGTACTAGTTTATGGGTTAATAGTTAAAAATGTAGTCAAACTATGATCAAACCAGCCATATACAATACATTTTATTAAACTGATCAAGACATTGCTTTAATGGTTTAATGATCCAACCAAGCAGTTGATGCGAATTTCTATACTATGTAAATATGAACAGTTACATATATATATATATATATATATAATTTTAACATAAAAATTACCATTGCTCGGAAACCCAACCATATAAATTAGCAAGATGCGATTGGATCTTTTCCTTATTAAATTTATTTTTTCCTTATCAATCGCCATGTTTAATTTGAGAATATGTATTTGACAAATATATATATATATATATATATTAAGGAAAGATTGCATATAGGACTTGTGGAGTGAACTTATTTACAAATAAGTCCCACAAAATTTAGAAACCACAATCAAGTGCCTTGGACTTGAATGTAATTTGAAAGTTGGGTACAAAGGCAATATTGCCTTATAATGCATGATCAGTTTAACTATTATATATATATGTGTGTGTGTGAAATTACAGTTATAAAAAGTTAAAATGATAGTTGTAAATTATAAAAGAAGTAGTTGCAAACAATTAGTATTAAATTTTATTAATAATGCATAATCGGTTTAACTATTAGATGTCTGAAATTATAATTATAAAATATTAAAGTGATAGTTATAAATTATTGATGATCAAGTAGTTGTATAAAATTAGTATTAAACTTGTAACACTTGATCAGTTTAACTATTAAATATGTGAAATTATAGTTGTAAAAAGTTAAAATAGTAGATGTAAATTATTAATGAATTAGTTGTAAATTACTTAATTGATGTAGTGTATTTTTAATAGGGGCATTATTATCTTTCCATCTGAAATACAAATTACACTCAGGTCTTAAGAGACATGATTGTAGTTTTTGAATTTTACTGGACTTATTTATAAATAAATCTGCTCCAAACTATATGTAATTTTCTCTTTTCTTTTTAAATACTTGAAACTTAATTAATCTATCAATACAAGTGTAGAACTAATCTTTGACTTTGGAGAAATTCATATTAATGCACTTGGTCTAAAATAAAGAATTTAAATAAACGCACGAAACTTTGCTTTACAAGGAAATGACTCATTTTACAACCGATCCGTTATATGTAACATGCAAAGATCGACCAACTTGGCAAAATGTTATCTGCCGTGAGAGCCATGAAGTATATACTTTATCTGCGCATGATCCGTGCGAGAATTTTCTTATGTCTGGTATTGCCACGTGTTAGTTTATATTTTTACTTTTTATTGTTTATTGCAGAAAAAATAAAACTATCTCAAGCCTACATATCTCTCCAAGTAAAACTGTAAGCTTATGTCTGGTGATGTCACACGTCTTTTTTGTTTTTGTTTTTTATTTTTTTTTAAAATAAAACTACTTCACTTCCTCATATCTCTCCATGTTCCCAACTTCCTGTTAATTTATTTATAATTTCAAATTTATAAAATTATAATGAAAAATTAATAATCAAATAAAAATAATAATCAAATTCAAATTTATAAAGCAATTTCCTAATAAATAATCTAATTTATTATACTGACATGTGTACATTTACATAATTAGGCAATTCTAGAAGACCATGTATTAACCTCTAGAATTTCATGTTATTTGAATATATTTTTCTTATATTCTAATATATTTGGCTTAATTGTATATATTTTAATTGCCTAACTTTAGAAAATGTGCATCTTACTTTCGGTTTATACAATTGATTTTAATTTTGATAATTTTTTAGTTTAATTTCTATTATTTTGCTTTAAAGTTTGGTTGGTAGCATTTCTAGACCCTTGACAGTGTTTTTGGATGGCTTTTAAATGACGAAATTAGATTCGAAAAGAGCTATCGTGCAAATTGGGAGAACAATGCAAAACTGTCAAAGTCATCATTAAAGTCACGACTTTGTTTGTGACTTTTGCCACTATCAACAAAATGCTGCATTTTATTAATCTAAAAATGTTTGGGATATGACACTTATATGCTACTTGCTTGACTCATAACCCATTCTATAGACTTGGAGCCATTGTTTGGAGCTTTGTGTGCTAGGATTTGGGCATTGAAAGAGTTTGGAGCAAGGATTTGGAGTTTTGAAGACATTTGAATCTCCTTTTCTTTAGTTTTTCTATTCTTCTCCCCTTTACTCTCTTATATTATGATATGGGTCCAAATATTTTATTTATTTGTATCTTGTGGATATTTATGAATAGCTAAATACTTTGCTCTAGGATTATTTAGAACCCTTATATGGATTGATACTAATTTTCTCCTCTCTTTTTGTGATTAATTATATGTGTGTGTTTATCTTTACTCTTTTCTTAATGCTTCTTAGTGTTTGGCCACCTGTTAGATGTTGGGTTCACTTGATTGATACTTGATAAGGCTAGGTTGAGTGTAGAACTTAGGTAAAATAGTGGAAAAACTTAAAGTTTGTATGATGAATAGATGGTTTTATTAGTAAAATAGAGATATACTTATTAACATTGCATAGCCACATTAGAGTTGGTGTTTAAAATTAGGTTTTATTTATTGTAACAAGAAATTGAGCAATTAATTCAACTAAACACTTGTTCTTGACTTGAGAAAAATTATTTAAGTATTTTTAGAACTCTAGGTTAGCATTTATGCAAGGGAGATAAATAATTCTAGGTCTTGATTTGTGCTTGAAGTTTGT